CTCAGTGCAAAGATGCTCTAGGACAAACCTGATTAGTTTGGGGTTAAAATCTGTTTATATTAGTTCCCTAATTAGCATAATAATTTATAATTTTTTTTGGTTCCAATCACATTTCAATAAAACTTGGTACATAGATGGTCTGTTACATTGCGCAGACCTCATTAGTTTTCCATTAAAATCTGTTCATATTTATTTTCTGATTTGCATTATTAGTTTTCGGCTTTTCCATCACTATCACTATCTATGACAAGTAATTTTGAATTATATTTAATGTGTCTCCAATACTCTCAGCACATGGGAGTTCTTTCTAAGCTTTCTATTGCGTTTGCACTATAATTTTTTTCTTTGGAAATGTTCAATAACACATCTATTTATAGACATGGCTTTAGAGCAAAGATTATGTATGAATTTTATTAAAATGTGTACTACTGGGTAATGCTTTCATCTAATAAACACAGCATTTAAATGTTTTGAATAATAATGATTAAAATAATGATTAAAATTACCAGTAATACAACATTTTTTTCAAAAATTTTGTTCAGAACCTCTTGCCAATAAGATATAATGTTCATTTATTTAAAATTAGCAAATAAATTATAGAAAAGTATATAAAAATGTACAATTTGTTGCACCAATTTGTGATAATGGTGCGAATTATATTTTATTTAAGGTTGCTACATTGTAGCATTAAATCATTGTTATCGTGTAACATATATTTATTTTATATTGGTGTCACCTGTACCTACTTCATTGTTTCTAAATGGTTGCCGGGTGGCGCCATTTGTGTGTGACAGCATTAAACACTGCAGTAGTAGAGGATCCTTTCATTATGATGATCACAAGATCGAAGAAGAATGTTTTTTTTTTATTTAAAAAATACATTTCAGTTTTACGTAAATCTCATATGAAATACTTTTACAAATTTACCCCATTTCTTTATGTGCATTTAATTTCCCTTTTTTGTTGGCAATAACATATTCAGTGTTCTGAATATTTTGAACAAACGGTTTAAGATGTTTGAAATGTGGAATTTTTCCTTTACATTTGCAGATATAATAACAAATTAAGCAACAATGACTCATGTGGGTCTCCCAGCAGAGTTGTTTCATCAGATAAAGTATTTCTCAACCCTGTATGTTTTCCCTATTGCTCAGAAAATGCCTTCCAAAACAACTGAACAAGAGGACACCTTATCATAAGGTGCATAATTGTTTTCACTTCCCCTTTACAAAATGTACACATTTTAGATTGGCAAATCTGGGGCAAAATTTTATTTAGTTACATTTGTCATTATAAAGTTGTGGTTTATTTTCCATTGAAATTCCCTCAATTTAGTATCTATTGTTATTTATTCCCCTTTCAGTCCGAAAACGGGGACTTATGTTTTGACCTCCGTGCATGTGTGTGTCTGTGCGTGCATCCGGACCTGTATCTTAGAAATGCCTGGACCAATCACAATCAAACTTCACACATACATCATACATGATATTATACATATGCACATCAATTTGTTTCACGATCTGATTCAAGATAGCCGAATGGTGGCCATTTTTGTGCTAAAAATCCTAAAAATCAAGCATTTCTCGGCTGTTTACAGATGAATTTTGTTCAAACTTGGTATATACATTAGACATTATGGGACCTTGATGCAAATAATTTTGTTTTTCAGATAAGATTAAAAATGGCTGACTGGCGGTCATTTTGCATTAATGAATGCGGTTCTCTTGTCATATCTCTGACTTGCTTTCACTGATTATGTTCAAATTTTCAATATTCATTATACATCATGTCATAGATAAACAGATATACATGTATTGGTTTGACGATCCTATTCAAAATGGCCGAATGGTGGTCATTTTTGTGCTAAAAAATCATCAAATATCAAGCATTTCTGGGATTTATGGATGGATTTCGTTCCAACTTGGTACATACATTAGACAATACGGGTTCCTGATACACGTCATTTTATTTTTCAGATTGGATTCAAAATGGCTGACTGGCGGCCATTTTGTTTTAATGATTGGGTTTCCAGAGCCATATCTCTTGAATGCTTTGACTTATTATATTCAAATTTTATATATTTGTTATACATCGTGTTTATATATATATATATATACATGTATTCAAAATGGCTGATTTTGGAATGCTGTTCCAGAGCAATATCTCTCAATATGGACAAGTACTTGTTTGACGATCAGATACAAATGTCAATCATTTTAATGTTAAAAAATCATATTCCTGACATGGTTATATTCCAGCTATATTACTATAAACAAAACTATATATCTTAAATTTGATAACTAACAGGGACTGTGCCATGCATGGCTTGTTTGAATGGTAATTTATAGATGGTTTCCCAGCCATGCCCTCCTCCGAGCGTGGGGGGAATAAAACTTTGTGAAACAAAACCCTTAACAATTTGCTTTGCTATACATTGATTTAAGTAAATATGTAAATCAACAAACTTCACCCCAATCATCTGTTCCTGTCCCACACCTCTCTTTAACCCTGATGGTACTGATGATATAATACCATTCCATTTCAAAAACATGTGCTTTAGGACACCTTTAATTTGTTTCATTATTTCTTTCCAATCCAATATAAAACCCCTCTTATTGAAAAGTTGCCCCACATAGTGAATCCTCACATCATCAAATTCTTTGTAATTAAATCTTTTATCAGCAATCGAAAGATTTTTGTTATTCCATATTATTTCGGGTGGTCAATTTCCTGGGCGTTTTCCCGTCCGGTGTTTGCACTGTATTCTATCGTTTCCTCCAATTCACTGCACTTCTTCTCCACCTCCCCCATTCGTATTAACATTCCTGCTATATCCCTGAAACCTGCCTCTGTGCTTCATTTTAGATCAGTGATCAGTTTACTGATAGTTTTCAGAGAATAGCTTGAGACTTCATCATTTTCGGACCCCGATTCTCCTAACAACCCCCCTTTTGGCCTCCTTCACGCTTGTCTTCGACGCCATGTGGGCTTCCATAAGTTTCTTTTCCTTGGTTTCTTTTTCCTTCTGTTTTTTCACCTTTTCCTTTGTATTCTTTGATGACATTTTGTCAGCGTATTCTCTGTATCTTTACACTTCTATCTCATATGTTTCCAGCGGAGGGCGTCTTCTATTCCTTCAGAAACTTTTTAACAAAGTGGGGCCGATGTAGCGGGGTAGCTCATTCAAACATGGTCACGTGACTCTCTGCAAGAAGAATGTAGTTTGTTCTGCTTCATGAAATGAGAATAACTGTTTAGATCTACATGCATGATTTACACAGATGTACTTTATTAACATAATTGTTTGTAATGAGTCTAACAATCTGATTTTGTTTACAGTGTGGACGATTTAATAAATAGCTCAAAACAGGACTGTGATTTCTGTGCCTACAAAACGTAAGTAACAAATTATGGCTTGTATGTAAACCATATACACCCTCAAATTTATTATTTTGTTCAGAACATCCAGATTTGTTTTTGATAGTCATGGTCTGTTTATGTTTAGTCCATGACTTGAAATACTAATATAAAAATTCTAAAATCACTTTTTAAATTAAAATATTAATTTAAAAGTTTTTAGAATACAATTTTTAACTGGTTGAGTATCAGTGATACAAAAACATTCAATGCATTACATGTGGGACCATTTGTTGTTAGAAAGCAAAATTTACATCAAAACACAATAAATTGCAATGTTCAAAAAAAACAACAGATTACCGGTACAAATACGACTGAATAGATTCTTGGAATGTATAAAAAGTTTTAAAGGTAAATTAAAGTGTTTTAAAGTTAAAATTAGAGATCGATACAAGTGTACCTTTGAAAAAGTGGTTTAAAATAACCAGTTCTGATCATTTAACGATTTTGAAATTTAACAAACCAGTCAGCAACTTAGCTGTCAATGTTCTTGTTTTGGTGTTCAAAACAATATGGCGATGACAGAAATAAAAATAATGTTTTTTATTTTCAGTAAAACAGCTGAAGATAGTATGGGACGTATTGAATCAAAGCATTCTGTGACTGCAGCAAATACATTTAAGTTTGATGCTCATCATGAGTTGATATTGATCAAACAACATAACTGTATCACTTTCACTGAAGAACAATTTTTAGATGCTATGAACACTGCTAAAAAATGGTGAGTAGTTAAAGTTACAATGTTTTCTTCATTGAAATGTGAATTGCAGACAAAGCTGAGTGAAATTATTAATATGTGTGTGTCGTCTTACGGCATTGACAACTTTAAATTATTGATTTCGTTTTGAAACAGCTTGATCAATTGCCTGATACATGTATTTTATATGCAGATGCCTCAAGTGGAATTCTCTCACATTTGATCATTTCATGGTGTTAACTTTGAATATCTAATTTAAATGAATGTTTTTAGCTCCATTGCCGACTTTGTCGAGCGGAGCTTATCATATGAGTGATTGTCTGTCGTCGTCTGTGTCAATGTTTTAATTTTTCGACTTCTTCTTGAAAACTACAAGCCTGAATGCTTTGATACTTGGTGTATATGTACCTTGGGTAGACCTCTCTTAGGTTTGTTCATTTCATCATTTCATCATGATATCTTTAATTATCTAATTTTGATGATTATTTTTGTCGTTTTTGGTAAAAAGTGATATTTTCGACTTCTTGTTAAAAACAGCAAGTGCCATTGCTTTGATATTATTTATATTGATATCTTCTGTTCTTTAATTGCCATGTGCATTGCTAACAGCGGAGCTATCTCAGCCGATAGGCTGCTTGTTTATTTTATTATTATGCAGCTAGTCCAATTGTTTTAATATATGTTCATTTTATGACAATATATCCTAAATCCAACTTCTACTACTATACTATGGATCAAATTGTTTTTAGATTATGTATCCAAAACAGTAGAGCTACATGTAATTGTGTTATATACATGGGAATTTTAAACAATTCAATGCCAGTAAACATCCTCACATGTAACAGCATATCTCAGTAGCTTTCTTGACAGACAAGTTTGTTTTGCAGATTGCTACTTTGAGTTGGCCTCAGATTCGTTCATTTCATGATAATATCATTAATTCTCTATTTTTACTAAATATTTTTGTCATTTTGGTAAAAAATTATGTATAATTTTGGTTAATTTTCATAGAAAATTTGACCTCCTGGCTGTTCTATAAATTGAATATGAGCTTTATTGTTCTTAGAGGACAGCAAAGTTTTTTCAGTGGTCAGCTCACTTGTATACTGAATACATGAATGTAATGTTTTTATTATTTTAAGAATGATTTATCATTAAAATATTTGTTTATTTATCTTCAAGGTTCAACAAAGTTTATGAAAAAGATAAAAGTTGCAAATACCCCCAAGTGTCATGGGATAATTTACCAAAAGCAAGTGCTAGTCAAATTCATCCACATGCCCAGGCAACTCTCAGACCTGCTAGATACCATGGTAAGTCATTCCAAATCAACATTGGTCTTGCTGGTGATTCATAGAAATGTAGAGGCTAGAAGATTTTGCTTACATAAGCTGAAATGAGACAATATTAAATTAGCTGCTTAATATTGGTCATGGCTCCCGTACTAACCATGTCTGCTTATTACCCAAAGGTACCTATGTTATAAATTTCATCAAAATTTGCTAGAAAGTATTTGAGATTTGACTTACAAAAGCTGAAACAAGATAATTAACATGAAAATTAATGCTGGACTACATGGAGCAAACACTCAGTAGGAAAAAAAGCTATGTTTTAATTAATCAGCCAAAGACATAATAGACAGATAATTTGCATAATAGTCACCAACCATAGCAAATATAAACAGTCTCTTCCATTCAGTACAAGCTCAGACTAGTAATACAAGTATTAGTAGTCCGAGGTACAATTTACACGCTTGCCATTTACGGTCGTCCACAAATTTAATTTCTTTAAATATCTCGCTCTTCAAGCAGTCGACTATGAAACCGTCTATGGTGTCGACTATGACAGTGACGAAAGAAAACTAATCCAAGGAAATTTGGGGAAGAACGTCGACAGTATGTAAAGCGATTATTATGAAAATTTAATCATGGAAGGTACTAACGTTAGTACCTTCCCCGAGTTAAGCGATCAGACTATGGAGGTATAAACAGAAGGTAGAAAATTTGAGCACATGGCAGACTTAGTTTTCGTGACCAAATTACGTGTCATGGACTCAATGAGTCGGAAGTGAACACTTGGCCCCCGGACTTGGCCACACGTAAATCCTGAGACAAGCAGCTGTAAAAGAAACGTACGCGTCTGCGTGTGTGAGCATCCTTGTTTTACCTGTTTCATTTTTCTTAATCTTCACATTCTCAATAAATAATTTGACGGATTCAATGAAGTTAGATTTGTTATACATGATATGGAAAGTGAACTGAATGTAAGATACTGGCAGTAGTCCCCGCCAGCAGTTGTTCTGGTACTATGTGTTACGCGTTGAAGATGGAAAAAGAATCATCACACTAATTTTGTCACAACAGTTTTGGGAACTAAAAACGGAAAACACGATTTATGGTGAACAGGTTATTTTACAAATCCACAAAATAATAACGGAACAAACAAAATGAAAATTCGCCGCCCAATCGACAGTCAGACAACTTTAAACCCAAGCGATTCAGTTCAGCACTCGCTGTGACTTCTCTCCCTCTCATTGCCATTCAAATCAGATAATATAAATCTTCGTCGAGACATCTCGCGTAGTAAAAAAAAATGTAGTTGATGCGTTCAGCCACGGTTATTGGTTCAGCAGCAAAGCAAGAGAATGACCTTCCATGGAGGGCAATGTATGGTAATGAGTCTTCCAGAAAAGGAGTGTCTCCTCCCACAACTTAATAATGGATATGTAAATCATGACGTCATTTTGACGTGGGTTTGTCACGCCGTGAAACAGTGTTTCCTATTGGATTCGGGAGCATAATTTCGTACTTTATAACTAATTGTGACCACGTATATTTACACATATACGTGATTATGACAGACAGATACCATAACTAGTGGTTACGAGTTTGTTTTGATCCAAGGGACACATGGATTTTGAGTTAGCCGACGATACGTTGCTGCTAAGTTGTTTTTGCCGTTTTCTCGGTTAAACAAAACAGGTATTCACGGAAACTGCAAGCCTTTGATCTTGAGTTCTTGTGGACGTATTATACTAATTTTTCGCACAGACACTCTTCGATATGTTCCCTCTCAAGCGGCTCTGGGATTTTTCTATTTTGCTAATTGTTTCAAAATTACGTTCTAATTTCTGAATACCGGTGGTGGTTTAGGGTATCGGCTGGTATTCCTACCCCCCCCCCCCCATAGAGACTGCGTATTACAGTTGATTATAGTTCCTGGGCTCCCTGTGAAAGAACCAGATCACATTGTTTTTTCAACATTGCTAAATAATTATTTCTTCTCCAACTATCATGTAGATATATATCTCAATCAACACGGAATGGTGGTGAGCGTCGTCTGAATACTGTTTTGTTGCCAATGTTCCACTAAATTCGTTTATTCATTGGTTCAATTATTTTTTTTTACCAAAAATGGCTTTCTGTGTTTACACACATATCACGTGACTATACACGTCCATACACACACTATCTTGTTGATTTCACATCCAATGTGAAATAGGCTTTCCATCAATATATAGCTTTGTGTGGTTCAGTAAATATTTTATATGAAAATATCAGTTTAGAAAATCAATACCAAAAACGTGTACAGCATCCTTAATTATTATTAGTCCCCATTCAGACGCAGTTCGAAAAAGGGGGACTTATGTTTTGACCTGTGTGTGTGTGTGTGCGTGCGTGCGTATGTGCGTGCGTGTGTGTGTCCGTGCGTTTGTGCATGCGCCCGGACCTGTATCTTAGAATTGCCTGGACCAATCACAATCAAACTTTACACATACACCATACATGAACATCATACATGAACATCACACATGATAGGATTACTGTATGTCAGTTGTTTTTGTGTGTTTTGATACAAAATTGCCGACTGGCTACCATATGTTGGTGTTATTTTTATTAGTCCCCGTTTGAATGCAGTCCGAAAACAGGGCCTTATGGATTGACCTTTGTGCTTCCATGTGTCTGTGTGTGCGTCTGGACCTGTATCTCAAACATGCCTGGACCAATAACAATCAAACTTCACACATACATCATACATAATATTATACATGTGCATGTCAATTTGTTTCACGATCTGATTCAAGATGGCCAAATGGCGGCCATTTTTGTGCTAAAAATCATCAAAATCAAACATTTTTCAGTTGTTTACAGATGGATTTTGTTCAAACCTTGTATATACGTTGGACATTATAGGACCTTGATGCACATCATTTTGTTTTACGATCTGATTCAAGATGGCCGAATGGCGGCCATTTTTGTGCTAAAAAATCCTAAAAATCAAGCATTTCTGGATGGATTTTGTTCAAACTTGGTACATATATTAGACATTACAGGTTTCTGATGCACATCATTTATTTTTCAGATCAGATTCAAAATGGCTGTCTGGCGGCCATTTTGTTTTAATGAATTGGCTTCTAGACCCATATCTCCGACTTGTTTTGACTGATTATGTTCAAATTTTAAATATTCATCATACATCATGTCATAGATAAACAAATATATTGGTTTGACGATCCTATTCAAAATGGCCAAATGGTGGTCATTTTTGTGCTACAAAATCATCAAATATCAAGCTTTTCTGGCATTTACGGATGGATTTCGTTTAAACTTGGTACATACATTAGACATTACGGGTTCCTGATGCATGTCATTTTATTTTTCAGATTGGATTCCAAATGGCTGACTGGCGGCCATTTTGTTTTAATATTTGGATTCTAGAGCCATATCTCTAAAATGCTTTGACTGATCATATTCAAATTTTATATATTCGTTATACATGTATTCAAAATGGCTGATTTTGAATGCTGTTCCAGAGCAATATCTATCAATATGGACAAGTACTTGTTTGACAATCAGATACAAATGTCAATCATTTTAATGTTAAAAAATCATATTCCTGACATGGTTATATTCCAGCTATATTACTATAAATAAAACTATATATCTTAAAATTGACAACTAACGGGGACTGTGCCATGCATGGCTTGTTTATTTAAAACCAGTGGTACTAGTATACATACAAAATTTATAAAAAAAATTTCAAAACAAATAATAAATGTTAATTTCTGGGGTAATAGGTCAAGGTATTCTGTTACAATATACCATCTAACAGGTATCAACAGGGTGTGTTTCAGTCACTGAGTGCCATAAATAGCCAAGTTGTCCATATGCAATCAGATATCAGATATTCTTACACACATAAAATTCTCCATTTATTTGTGAGTATCATTACCCTACACCTTAACTGTAAAATACTTTATTAGTCCTCGTTCGGACGAAGACCGAAAACAGGACTTATAATTTGGTCTCCGTCCGTCCGGAGTCGTATCTCAGAATCCTTTGGACCGATTCTGTTCATTCTTTGCATGTGCTTCGTACTTTACATGTATGTGGGTCATATGCACATGCAGTGGTTTAGCGATTCGATTCAAAATGGCCGACTGGCAGCCATCTTGTTTTTTGAAAAAGTTGTATTTTGGACATGCTTTGTCAGTTTTCATTCAAATTTGGTACATAGATTATACATGTTATGATACATGTTCCCAACTGTCCGCAAGTCCGTCCGTCCGTGCATCAGTCCGTCCAGAATCATATTTCAGAATCCTTTGGATCGATTCCATTCATTCTTTGCATGTGCCTAGTACTTTATGTGGGACATATGCACATGTAGTGGTTTAGCGATTCGATTCAAAATGGTCGACTGGCAGCCATCTTGTTTTTTGAAAATGTCGTATTTTTTACATGTTTTGTCAGTTTTCATTGAAATTTGGTCCATAGATTATACATGTTATATAGGATACATGTTCATGACAATTTCTTTCGCAACTGGATCAAAGATGGCCGACTGGCAGGCATCTTGTTTTGTTTTTTATGTGTGGTATCTTGGACATGCTTTGTCAGTTTTCATTCAAAATGGTCGACTGGCAGCCATCTTGTTTTTTGAAAATGTCGTATTTTTTACATGTTTTGTCAGTTTTCATTGAAATTTGGTCCATAGATTATACATGTTATATAGGATACATGTTCATGACAATTTCTTTCGCAACTGGATCAAAGATGGCCGACTGGCAGGCATCTTGTTTTGTTTTTTATGTGTGGTATCTTGGACATGCTTTGTCAGTTTTCATTCAAAATGGTCGACTGGCAGCCATCTTGTTTTTTGAAAATGTCGTATTTTTTACATGTTTTGTCAGTTTTCATTGAAATTTGGTCCATAGATTATACATGTTATATAGGATACATGTTCATGACAATTTCTTTTGCAACTGGATCAAAGATGGCCGACTGGCAGGCATCTTGTTTTGTTTTTTATCTTGGACATGCTTTGTCAGTTTTCATTCAAATTTGGCACATACATACATGGTAGGATACATGTCCAGGACAATTTGTTTCAAAATCGGATCAAGGATGGTCAATTGACAGCAATCTGATTTTTTGGCCTTACTACTATATTTCCAAGATTTATGTACCATTTTCATTCGTATTTGGCACATACATCAACATGTCAGTTTGTTTCATAATCAGATCAAAGATAGCTGAATAACAGCTGTTTTTATTTTTGGCCATATTATCTCTGTCACCCATGTATCATTTTCATTGATATTTAGCATGTCATAAATGGATACATGTACATGTCAATTCAATTTGCAATATGAAAAAAATATGGCCAACTGGCGGCCATCTTGTTTGTTTAAAATGTGATAACGTGGACATGCTTTCACTTTTGATCTATGTTTTTGTTTGCTGTCTTAAACCGGAGGGGTTGTCACGCAACACATGTTCGAATTTGATGTGAATAAATAATCTGTTGTATACGCCACTTGGGACTCAAGTTTCAAAGACGCGCTTGCGACAACTCCTCTGTTTTAATATGACGAGCACGAAAATTTAACGGGACACTGTGTCATTTTCAATGACTTGTTTTAGCTAGAATATATTTTCGCTGAATAGACTTTTTGGGTGTTTTGTATGGAATTTATTTTCAATGATTTTTGACGAGTTTAATGTAAAATATAGTAAAAAGGTACATTCGCTGGATATACCTGAAATGTGTAGTATGGTTTTTGATGCTTGTAGTTTTAATATTTCACCACCAGTTCTCTCTTTTCATCACAAATTCACGAGATGGTCCTGTTTATAGTCTGTAATTTCCATCAGAAGATTGGGATCAAAATAACAAAAATTTTTGAGTCAAAACTGAAAATTGACACAGATTTTGTATGTTAATTAGGGTTCATTTTCAGAAATATTGAAGAATATGAGAAAAAAGTGTAGAATAAATTTGGGCATGAAAGTCTGGTGGTGAAAAGGTTGAAGCCTTTTGCACACCAACTTTTACATGTATGATGCAACATAACTGTCGCAATTTTGGCAAATTCATAATGATTTTTTTATGGGAGTGCATCTCGTAGTGCCTGCACACATAATTTATTCGTCTTCTCATCAACATCCCATTCTTTGATTGGTGAACTCTGAATGCGACATGTCTAGAAGTACGTCAGACCACCCAAAATAAACATTCTTCAATTCCAGATTCCATGTAGTGCCAAACAATAATTTGTGTTGCCTACAAGACGCAGACCACCATCAATGATGCAACAGCTAATTAAGTTGCATTATGTTGCACTGTAACGAGTTGCATTGTGAAGGGTGATATGCTTCAGACTTGATACATGCATTTCACAGCAGACTGTTTCAGATAGTACTAGACCTGGAAATTTAAAGCTCTCCAACAATAAAATGTTTTTTTATGTATATTTGAGAATGATATATTAATTTTGTTAAAAGGTCTAATGGAACACCTGAAATTATCTGCTATGGCATACAGAGAGCATACAGGAAGCAACTTTTTTACTGATTTAATTCAGGTAAAACTATTTATTATTATTATACAATATATTACATATGTTGTTCATCAGTTTTCTGATAATTGTACATATTATGTCATAACAGAAGAATGTGCCTGTGCTCTTATGATACAAAGAATGACATCACAGTTGATTGATAACTGAAGAGTGACATCAGTATTTTGATAACTGAAGAGTGACATCAGTTTATTGATAACTGAAGAGTGACATCGCAGGTTATTGATAACTGAAGAATGACATCACAGTTTATTGATAACTGAAGAGTGATATCACAGTTGATTGATAACTGAAGAGTGACATCAGTTTATTGATAACTGAAGAGTGATATCACAGTTTATTGATAACTGAAGAGTGACATTACTGTTTATTGATAACTGAAGAATAACATCAGTTTATTGATAACTGAAGAGTGACATTACTGTTTATTGATAACTGAAGAGTGACATTACTGTTTATTGATAACTGAAGAATAACATCAGTTTATTGATAACTGAAGAGTGATATCACAGTTTATTGATAACTGAAGAGTGACATTACTGTTTATTGATAACTGAAGAATAACATCAGTTTATTGATAACTGAAGAGTGATATCACAGTTGACATCAGTTTATTGATAACTGAAGAGTGACATCACAGTTTATTGATAACTGAAGAGTGACATCACAGTTTATTGATAACTGAAGAGTGACATCACAGTTTATTGATAACTGAAGAGTGACATCACAGTTTATTGATAACTGAAGAGTGATATCAGTTTATTGATAACTGAAGAGTGACATCACAGTTTATTGATAACTGAAGAGTGACATCAGTTTATTGATAACTGAAGAGTGACATCAGTTTATTGATAACTGAAGAGTGACATATCAGTTTATTGATAACTGAAGAGTGACATCAGTTTATTGATAACTGAAGAGTGACATCAGTTTATTGATAACTGAAGAGTGACATCAGTTTATTGATAACTGAAGAGCGACATTAGTTTATTGATAACTGAAGAGCGACATCAGTTTATTGATAACTGAAGAGTGACATCACAGTTTATTGATAACTGAAGAGTGATATCAGTTTATTGATAACTGAAGAGTGACATCACAGTTTATTGATAACTGAAGAGTGACATCACAGTTTATTGATAACTGAAGAGTGACATCAGTTTATTGATAACTGAAGAGTGACATCAGTTTATTGATAACTGAAGAGTGACATCACTGTTTATTGATAACTGAAGAATAACATCAGTTTATGCTGCAACAAAACCCATATTTGTCTGAATTAGATGGTACAAGTTTATTTATTTTCAGTCTTTGTGCGAGTGCAGTCTGAAAACAAGGACTTGTAGTTAGATCTCTGCAAGTCTGTGTGTTCCCTCTTGTATCTTGGATATTTGTGAACTGATTATATTCAAACTTCACGCATACATCCTGTGGCCATGTTAAAAATGCATCAAAATCACTTCATGCCATTCATAAATAACTTGCGACTGATTGTCTATTATTGTTTTATAGATCCATACTGTGTTAGGTCTAACTACAACCTATGGCAATGCAACAGCTCTGGCATACCTCACTCCAAAGAAAGACCATGAAATATTTATTATTAGTCAACATGCTGACGAGGCTTTCTTCAGATTATTGTATTACACTATTAAAGCATTTATGGACGATTTACAACTTTACGCCTGGAGTTTTTTCATGATACTTCCAGAAATGGTACGTGAAATATCAGCTGTACTATTGCAGCTGAAGAGATTTATTTATTTATGTAGTACCCCCTCAGTAGTTCCAATCATCTTGCAACAGTCAGCTTGTTCTTCATTTTATTACCTTGCCCGAAGATGAGAGGGAGAATGTCTTATCATGTTGAATAGCAGTATTCTTACTATACAAGATAGTTACAAATTTGGATGAAAATAAAATTGTTTGTACATGCATGCATTTATGTCCCAGTTTAGAAAACAACCCAGATGTTTAGAGTAGAGATGTTATTTAGATAGTGCAGTGTACCGATATGTATTGTCAATATTTATATTTGGCCAACAAATTCCTAAATACAATATCACTTTGTCACATTGTTAAATTTATAACACATATTACAACGTCAAATTTACCCTAGACTGGCAAAGTCGGGACTTCTTTTCCGTTTTACAAAATGAAATAATTGTACTTTTAATCCTTTCAGCGTGATCGCTAAAGAAATCCCGACTGGACGCATCTGCGGACATTTGACCGCTATTAATTATTCATGATGTCATTGATTATTCATGAGTGGGTGTATGAAAGTAAAAGTGACTTTTTAAAGATTGACTCGATTCTATCGCAGAAATGAATACTTTAACTGTTTTAAGTGCAACGACGATACTTTCATCCATTTTTACTGAAATATCCAATGTAAATAATTAATCTTTTAAAATCGCTGAGACCTCAGAAGTGAAAGGTCACGTACATTATTATAAACATAGATAAGAGATGACGTATACAGCTGCACTCGTTGTCAATGCTAGTCAACATATTTTAATTAGCATAATCAACAGAATGAATCTGCTCCAGTTTTCATTTCAACGCAAAGGGTTGCCTGCAGATGCGTCCAGTCGGGATTTCTTTCGCAGTCACGCTAGTTATTGCGATCACGTTAAAAAGGCTAAATTGAAATTATTTTTTTTCAAAAACAAAAAAGAAGTCCCGATTTTGCCAGTCTAAATTCACCCCTCCAAAATTGTACCTAGAATCTATGAACAACAAGTTTATAGATGTTAAACTGTGTTTGTCTTTTTACAAACAGGGATCATTTGGAACCAAACAGTTGATGCCAGCTATTGTACGAATAATTAGTAGAGGTCCTGCCAATGTGGCTAGAAATGATATTAGCTCTTTGGAACTTTTCGGGGTAAGTGTATTCCATGAAACCAATGAAATGAAAAGATACTAGAAAATATTTAACCTTTTTACCACCCTCTTTTAATGACAAATTCACAAAATAGTCTTAGTTTGCACTTCCCTTCAGAAGATTGCCAAATCTTTTGTGTAAAATCTGAAAATTGATTAAAATTTTGTATGTTGGGAAATGTATGACCTAGAAAAAATACCATATGCAAGTACCAAGATTCACAGAGCTTCAAATTATTTATTTTCTTTGATTTTCTAATTACTGTAAATGTATTAATTATTCACTGGGTTTTAATTTCACTGATAAGTAAAATCTGTTAAATTAAATCTACATGACCATGTAAAATAACAATAGAACTCATTGTTTCCTTGACAAATTTTGGAAATTAAAACACAGTGAATATGCTCAAAACAGTGAAAATAAATTGTTTTACAGTATGTTGAATATTATCAATAGAGGGCGACCTTTATTTTTTGGTTCAATAACTTCAATATTCAACATTTTAATAGCAAATATCTACTTGAACTGTTAGTTGTCAGTGGTGGTATTAATAGGGAAGGATGTGCAGTCATGATAAATAAATTAATATTGTTGTCTTTGCGAATACAAGGATCAGATTATGGATAACTTCAACACTTTTGTTTCTGTGTTGTTGTACATAATACGCACTCTACTGATGCTTTGATTGTTTTTTTTAAAGAGCCATTATGAGTAACTTTTGTATTATTTTTATATACATTGTATGGTTAACCTGTATGTATAGATGACTTTTCGCTATGCTGTGGTCTTCCCTACCTATTGTAGACCATAACTCCATTTATGAAATGATATCCCCACCCTATGCTATGATCTTTCAAACGCAATCTGATTAAAATCTGATGTAGTGTACGGGCTTTAATTATTAATTTAACGTTACATATACAGGGCAAGCCATGTGTAGTTTAACTATGTTTAGAAAGTTGATGTAGATAAACGACGAGTGACAATCATGAATATGAATAGCTCTACTGTCAACTAAAGTTGATAGCTAAAAACCATCTTCAGCTGTTAATATTATAAACACTAATCTTCACTGAATATGAGAAATTTGCCTGACTTGTGGCAACGATTAATAAATGCCATACTTCACTGTAAATAACTCAAATATTGTTATAATTGTATGAATGTATAATGAATGCATGGAATAATGTGCAATATCAATGCTAATTGCCATCTTTGTTGCAAAGTTTTTGTTGTATGCATTTATTAATCCGTTGGTTCATTTCATTATTTTCCACAGGCATCAAATGTAAATATTGATCCATTTAGCATTATTGCTCACATAGAGGAATCTGTCACTAAACGAGGTTGGAGATGACTGAAGCAAGGATAGAAGATCAAGGGACACTTACAATTAACAATCTGATTCAAGATGGCCGAATGGTGGCCATTTTTGTGCTAAAAAATCATAAAAATCAAGCATTTCTCAGCTGTTTACAGATGGATTTTGTTCAAACTTGGTGTATACATTAGACATTATAGGACCTTGATGCAAATAATTTTGTTTTTCAGATTAGATTCAAAATGGCTGACTGGCGGCCATTTTGTTTTAATGAATGTGGTTCTCGTGCTATATGTCTGACTTGCTTTCACTGATTATGTTCAAATTTTAAATATTCATTATACATCATGTCATATATAGACAGAAATATTGGTTTGACGATCCTATTCAAAATGGCTGAATGATGGCCATTTTTGTGCTAAAAAATCATCAAATATCAACCATTTCTGGCATTTATGGATGGATTTCGTTCAAACTTGGTACATAATAGACATTACAGGTTTTTGATGCGCATCATTTATTTTTCAGATCAGATTCAAAATGGCTGTCTGGCGGCCATTTTGTTTTAATGAATAGGCTTCTAGAGCCACATCTCTGACTTGTTTTGACCGATTATGTTTAAATATTCATTATACATCATGTCATAGACAGACAGATATATTGGTTTGACGATCCTATTCAAAATGGCGGGCATTTCTGGATGGATTTCGTTCAAACTTGGTACATACATTAGACATTACGGGTTCCTGATGCATATCATTTTATTTGTCAGATCAGATTCAAAATGACTGTCTGGTGGCCATTTTGTTTTAATGATTGAGCTTCGAGAGCCATATCTCTTAAATGCTTTGACTGATTATATTCAAATTTTATATATTCGTTATACATCATGTTATATATATACATGTATTCAAAATGGCTGATTTTGAATGCTGTTCCAGAGCAATATCTCTCAATATGGACAAGTAATTGTTTGACGATCAGATACAAATCAATCATTTTAATATTAAAAAATCATATTCCTGACATGGTTATAAACAAAACTATATAACTTAAATTTGATAACTAATGGGGACTGTGCCATGCATGGCTTGTTAGTCCCCGTTCGGACGCAGTCCGAAAACGGGGACTTATGTTTTGCCCTGTGTGCGTCCGTGCGTCCGTGATCACCTGTATCTCGAACATGCATGGACCGATTGAGTTCAAACTTCACTCATACATCACACATTATATGGGACATATGCACATGCATTTTTTTCATGATCCGATTAACGATAGCCGAATAGCGGCCATTTTAAGGCCGAAAATGCATCAAAATCGCACATTTTCACCATTCCGGACCCGGATCTCAGTTATGCATGGACGGATTTTGTTCAAATTTGGTACATACATTAAACATAATAGGACCTTGATGCACGTCATTTTTTTTTTGGATCGGGTTCGAAATAGCCGACTGGCGGCCATTTTGTTTTAAAGAATTCAGTTCTGG